GAGCAGTCGGCCGCGGTCGTCCTTCGGCCCTACAGGCGGTCGCGTGCACCTTCCACCGACGGGAGCCACCCTTCGTGACGCCCCCCCCCCCCCCGTCCGGATGGTGCGCACTGCCACTCCCCATCTGCACCAGGGACTCCCTCCACGCCCCCACCGCCGCTCTCATGCCCTGCTGTGTACTGTGAGCATCCACTAGGCCAGGTTGTCAGGTGCCTCTCAAAATTCTCAATTTTTGAACAAGGTCTCCTGCATTTCTCTTTTGACTTGGTGCCACGAATTATGTAGAGCCGGCCCTGGTACCATCCCTGAGCCCACAGACCTTGATCCTAAATAGGCAGTGACCAAGGGCTTCCAACCCAATGGGAGCTGGAGGGCTTCCTGGGAGAAGTGACAGCAGGAGTGTGAGCTGAGGAGGGGTGGGGGGGCGGGCACCCCAGGGCTGCACAGAACTTTGAGGCACTTTTGCCTTGGTGAGCTCCTGCATGCATGCAACATATTGGAAATTGTATCTCAGTGTTTTTATGAAATATGTACTTTCCTGTGTGTTGTCATAAATACATATACAATACTAGTATATATTAGAACATTTAATTTGACTTAAAAGATCATTTTTTTCTTCTGATTTAAAAAAACATGAAAACATTTTTGTGGGCTCCGGCCACTGTCCCTGTTCCTGTTGGAAAGTGAGCCACGGCCACCCTCCCCAGGCCCTGTGCCCACCGAGCTGTGTGCCATCAGTGTCACTGTGTCCTGTGGTCTGGGAGGGACAGTTAAGGCTGGACACTCTCCCAGCAGGCCCTGGTGACCCCTGAACTGGCCATCTGTCCCCCTTTTAGGACATGTGCCAGGCTCTCTCTTGCCACACAGACCCCCTGGACCAGAGCAGCTGTAGCCGCCTCCTCATTCCGCTCCTGGATGGGACAGAGTGTGGTGTGGGGAAGGTCAGCGGGAGTGAAGGAGCGTGTGACCGTGCGTGTGTGTGCATGTGTGTGCACGCTCACAGACCTGCAGCCTGGCAGCCTTCATCCTGGGGGGGAGACCAGAGGACCTTGGTGAGCCAGGGCAGGGGGCCAGGAGAGCTGCAGCAAGGAGCCCCGTGTGCGCCTGGCGCCTCGCCCCGCCCTCTACACGGCCCCAAAGACGCGCTGGGTTTTCTAGTTCACAAGACCAACAGCAACAGTCCAAAGGCGTGCTCCTGACCCTGCAGGGGGAGGGAGGTGGGGGGATCCCGGCCCCACTCTTGACCGCCTCGCTGCTCCAAGAGAGCGCGGAAGTTTCTGGAACTCCCACTCCCAGACGCGGTGTCTCATTTCCCCTCCCGGCCTGGAGGTGGGGCCTGTGCTGTCGCCCACCTCACAGAGAAGGCGCAGTTCACCCCCCCCGTCAGACTCCCTCTTGTGGCCTGTGGGCTGGTGGTCGGCCTTCTTCTGTTTAGCATTGGCTCCCAAGCAGGGTGGCGGACACATATGTGTATGTGGTCTTGGGGGTGCCCTGGGTGTGGGCTGTCTGTGGATGTGAGGTGACTTGAGTGTGGGGTGCCCTGGCTGTGGGGTGGCCTGGGTGCAGGACGCGGTGTGTCCTTCTCTTGCAGTGGTGCTCCAAGGGTCACTGCCGCTCCCTGGCGGAGCTGGCCCCCATTGGGGCAGTGCACGGGCACTGGTCTAGCTGGGGTCCTGCCAGTCCCTGCTCCCGCTCCTGTGGCGGAGGGGTGGTCACCAGGAGGCGGCAGTGCGACAACCCCAGGTACTGCCCAGAGGGGCACTGTGCTCTGGTCGGAGGGGGCCTGCTCCACATTCCCTGGTGGGGGTGGTGGTGAGGAGATGGGTCACCTCTCACCCCTGTGTCTTGTGCACATTTTCAGGCCTGCCTTTGGGGGGCGTGCGTGCATAGGTGCGGACCTCCAGGCCGAGATGTGCAACACTCAGGTAGGCCTGCTTCCCTGGGCAGGGCGAGGGGGTCAGGTGGGCAGCACCGGGCCTGGAAGGGCCCAAGGACCAGGGTGGCTGTAATGTGCGTTCACACAGGGCGTTTCTGAGCATGAAAGTAGCACTGTTAATACCTACGCTGGGGCCGTAGTGCATACACCAGGACCCCAGGTGTCCTGAAAGCGGCCACCCCAAAGTGACCCCCTTCCCTCCCACGATGTCCTCCAGGGCGCTGAGTGGAAGAGCGGGCTGTGCGTCTCTGCAGGGAAAACACCCCTCTTCCCTGGCAGCGCAGGGCACCACTGCGAGAGCACAGGTGCTTCTGTTACAAATCGAGGGGAATTTCACATCTTAGGTTGTGCAGCTCAGGGGCATTTAGCACATTCACAATATTGCACAACCCCTACCTCAATCTAGTCCCACACCATTTCCATCCCCCCAAAGTAGCACCCAGGACCCACTAAGCGGTCACCGCTGTTCCCCCTCCCCCCAGTTCCTGCCCACCACCAACCCACCTTCTGTCTCTGGACTGATCTACTCTGGACATCTGGTATAAGTGGAATCATGCGCTGTGGCTTTTGGTGTCCGGCTTCTTTCCCTCAGCATGACGGTTTCAAGGTTTAGCCATGTCCTGTGTGTCAGAACTCCATGCCTCTTCATGGCTGAATACTATTCCATCGTGTGGATGGACCGCATTTTGTTCACCCATCCATCTGTTGTCCGTACACCCGTTCTTCTAGGCCGTGTCCATCTTTGGTTGTTGTGAATAGTGCTGCTAAGAATATGTGTGTACGTGGGGTTTTTTTGAGTACTAGCTTTTGAGTCTTGGATGCACAGCTAAAGTGAATTGCTGGATCACGTGGTAATTCTATGTTCAGCTCTTGGAGGAACCTCCAGGCCATTTCCCACAGCCTCTGAGCTACTTGGCATTCCCACCGGCGATGTGCGGGGTTCTCATCTCTCCGCATCCTCTCCGGCACTTCCCTGTTTTCCACACGGCCGTCCAGTGGGTGTGAAGGGGTGGAATGATTCCTCTGGCGCTGAGTTAAGATTTGCACATGACGAGACCCTCCCTCCCTGCTTTCTGCAGGGGGACACCCAAGGCGTCCCCAGACCGAGGGTGGAGTCTCTGCCTGGGAGGGGGGTGGGCAGGCCTGCGGGGGGCAGCCGCGGTCCGGCACCTGCTCAGCAGGGCTGCTCTGACTCTTCTCCTCAGACCCCAGTGCAAGACCCAGGATGCCTTGGCCTTGGTTGGCACTGCAGGTCTTGGCAGAAGCCCCTTTGCTCTCAACTCCTAACACTTTCCCAGTTACCTGCCTCTAGAGGTGCAGACGTGGGGACTAAATGTCATTGGCCCCGTCTGCTGAGGTTCAAGCCTCCCACCAGCGGGCTCTTTGCTCCACTCTCCTGTGTCATGGAGGGTAGGTTCTGCCCTGCCCTGCATCCTTACAAGTCCCCGTGGAACTCTCTCAACAGCAGAGAAAGGCTCTCGACACCCCCCCTCACAGAGCAGGGAACTGAGGTGCAGCCAGAAGCTGAGCTCACGCCGATGGCTTGACCCGCGTGCAGCAGGGGTCTTTGCTGCGTCCCAGGCACAAGGGCCCCCTGCCTGAGCCCCCCACCCCGGGCCCCGGCCCCTCTCGTGTCCATCCTCTGCCTCCTCCCCGCTCCAGGCCTGCGAGAAGACCCAGCTGGAGTTCATGTCCGAGCAGTGCTCACAGACCGACGGGAAGCCGCTCTACCTCTCCCCAGGCAGCCCCTCCTTCTACCGCTGGGGCGCCGCCGTGCAGTACAGTCAAGGTGGGGCCTGGAGGGTGCTGGGCGGGGCCAGGCCCGTCGCCCTGGGGTGGGCAGAGCCGCCGCGGCCCGGCCCACCATCTCTCTGATGCTGCTGAGAGCAGGCTCTGTGTAGACACACCGCGCGTGCCATCCTGGCTCGGCTGCTTGCTACATTGCCTGGCAACGACTCGTCACCTCTGAGTCCATTTCCCCATCTGTAAAATGGAGATAAGGGGGGTTATCTCCCTGCTGGGGTTGCTGGAGGGAGCCAGTGAGGCGAAGCAGGGGAGGCCCTGAGCGTGTTCCTGAGCGTGTTCCTGGCCTGTAATTCAAGAGCATTTATTACATCACGATACGATTACTGCCTCAGGAGGCCAGATGGGTAGAAGACGGAAACCTTGCCCCAAACCCAAAGGGGGAACCTGGTGGTGCCGACGGGGGTGAGGGTCCACTTGCATCGTGCTTGGCGGGGTCACTGGCCTCCCGCCCCCTGCCCACTCCCATCCGGTTCCCGGTCCTCCTGCCTTCCCAGGGGATGCTCTGTGCAGACACACGTGCCGGGCTGTTGGCGAGAGCTTCATTGTGAGGCGTGGGGACAGCTTCCTGGATGGGACCCGCTGTGTGCCGAGCAGCCCTCGGGAGGACGGGACCCTGAGCCTGTGTGTGTCGGGCAGCTGCAGGGTAGGCGTATGCGGGCAGTGGAGATGCCCTTCCAGCCACGGTGGCCCTGAGGCCCATCCCATCAGAAGCCAAGGTGCAAAGGGGCCTCCAAGGGGTTGGTCTGGGGTGTTGGCCTCCATTAGCCTCAGCAGAGTCTGTACAGGGTGATGCCGGGATATAGGGCTGATCTCAGGGTCAGCTGGGCAGAAAGAGCCTTGCTGTGACCTTGGACAAGTTACTTAGGTTTGTTCCAACACAGACGTCAGAAGTTACAGAAATGCCCCCATTGTGTGAATCTCAGAGCTGTGGGTGTCAGTGGGCCGGCACCCTGTGACACCCTCCAAGTCTCACCTGCCTCCCTCCTTTGCTCAGACTTTTGGCTGTGATGGCAGGATGGACTCTGGGCAGGTGCGAGACGTGTGCCAGGTGTGTGGAGGGGACAACAGCACGTGCAGTCCACAGAACGGCTCTTTCACGGCTGGAAGAGCCAGAGGTAGGGGCCTCCCTGGGGGTGAAGGGCCAGGCTCCCCCAGACTCCGAGAAGCCCACCGCCCAGAGCCCAGGCAGCTGGGTCCATGCGTTCGCTCAGCCCTGAACCCTCTAAGTGGGCATCAGCCTCCGTCCTCCGCTTTGCCAGCCTCCCCATGAGGCTCAGATTTTGGTGATGAGGCCGCGGCCAGGACTGTGAGGTATCAGTAACGGTGATGCAGGAAACACACGGACATTGTGCCGTCCGCTGTGGGCTGGTCTCTCCTCTCCTGCTCAAGGAATCTTCGCAGGAGGGGTGTTATACTTGGAAAATCGTTGACCTGGATCTATTTATAAAAGAGGTCAAGTCTTCTGCAAATTCAGTGGAGGAGTTGAGTCCTGCCTCCCTCTGGCAGGCCCATACTGCGCCCAGAACCTTGGGTCTAGCCACTACTCCTGGCCAGGGCAGCATCCCCACAGGTGGCCCTCTGGCCTGGCTTTGATGGCCCCCTGTGACAGGGGGCTCCCTGATGCCTGAGGCAGCCTCGTTGCCTGGTAGCTTCTGGTGCCGAAGTCTTCTCCCTTTGACTGTGAAGTCGGTGACCGGAGCCCACCCGCCCTCTCTGCTTCCTCCTAGAATACGTCACGTTCCTGACCATCACCCCCAACCTGACCAGCATACACATCATAAACCAGAGGCCTCTCTTCACACATCTGGGTGAGTTGGCCCAAGGATGCCCGTCGGAGCTGGCCAGGCTGTGAAGGTTGAGGCACAGCCCCAAGATGCCCTCACTTCTGATGCCAGCTGCAAGTTTGGAGGCACCGTCAGTTGAATAATTCACTAGGAGACTTGCGGAACTCTGAGAGCTGTTACACTCACCGTTGAGGCTTATTACAGGGGATGGAGGCTCAGTAAAACCAGCCAAAGGGAGAGGCGTCGGGGCAGTCATTCAGGGAGGGCTCTGTGTCCAGCCTCGAAGCCAGCACGCACGGGCTGCTGCCGACCCAGGGAGCGCCTCTGAGTTCGTTGTCCAGGGTTCACGGGGGCCGCCTCGTGCAGACGTGACTGAGGGAGTCACTGGTCGCCCCCGGGCGATCTGTCTCCAGGTGGCTGGCGCTTTGTGACTCAAAGCCTCTGCCCCAAATAGAGACGCTCCTGACAGGTGTGACAGGGCCTGCCTCTGGACAGGGACAGCCTCTTTACTACTCAAGGGTGCCCCCGCCTGACCTTTGACCTGGGGTGAGGGTGCTCATCCTGGGGTCCTCGAGCCCCCGAGGGTTCAGCGTGAGCGCACCTGGTGAGGGAGCAGGTCGGCGGCCCTCCACGGGCAGAGGCGCACTCACGCTGTGGGGAGGCCTCCTGGGGTCGGACGCTGTGTGCACCTCAGCAGAGACCACCCGGACGCCAGGAGCACCCGCTCCCTGGGAGGGCTGGAGACCGGGGGGCGGGAGTGGCAAATGGGGCAGTGGAAATCATGTCCTGTGGGCCCAGAAGTCACCTCTGTCTCCTCCTTAAACAGAACCTCAGCTGTGAGAGGGGGTGGTGCCGGCTGCTTCCGTGGGAGCAAGGGTGGCCTCTGTGGTGCTGACAGCCTCTCTCCCGACAGCCGTGAGGCTCCGAGGGCGCTACATTGTGGCCGGGAATGGGAGCATCTCTCCCAGCACCTCCTACCCCTCCCTCCTGGAGGACAGCCGTGTCCAGTACAAAGTGGCCCTGACTGAGGACCGGCTGCCCCGCCTGGAGGAGATCCACATCCGGGGACCCACCTGGGACGACATGGAGATCCAGGTGATCAGCGGGGCCTCCCCCGGGGTTCACTGGTCCACAGTTCATGCACACACTTGCTCATTCTCTCTGCAGTCACTGGGGGGTCTGAGGTCCCTGTGCTCAGAGCCCATAGGAGTCCCTGGAGTTCTGAGGGTGGGTAAGAGGGGAGCCCCGCACGGGGGATCAGGAGCTCTGCTGCTGAGCTCTGTGATGAGCAAACGCTGCCAGGCTGAGCAGGAGGAGTGTCTGGAGGGAACAGTACGTGCGCAGGAAGGGTAATGAGGAGGGAGGAAGGAAGGGG